ATCGTAGGCCCACGTTAGTGCTTGTTGAAAAACAGCAGGCAGTTGAAAATTCCTTGCCGACATTCAGAGGCATCCCAAATGCCAGCTAGATTAGACGAGATTATTACAGCCTGTAAATCAGCATCAAATACACATCCAGTTACCTCCTGACCACTTTAGAAAATTTGTGACATATTCAAGTAGACAGGTTTAAGGCATATTAGACATATGTTTACTTCCATAAGATGCTAAAAATGAACCCATTCAACCAAAAATCATTAAGAACCTATTTAATTTAAGCAATTTGCTGTATGCTTTGAGGGACAGAGAGATAAATTAGACACACATATCATGTTCCCCTGTAGCTTGTAAAAATCTAAGATAAAATTCTCAGGGATTTAAATTTTGTTAGTATGTAAAGAATTTATTCATAATTTCCAAAAAGCAAATTTAGCCTCAAAAATCTTTTTAGTAACCGTACTTACTCTGAAATTTGGTAGAGGAACAATGTAACAAATTTTTGGTACAGTCAAAGAATTGGAAGTGAAAAAATTGGAAGTGAAAGTCTTGCCAATCTTTAGTAGCCTTTTTTCCTTGTCCTGTGGTTAAAGACCCATTTGCCTAGCTTTGGATAAATTAACTAATTGAATTTCATCTTTTGTACATATATAAAACTGACTTTCCTCTCACTCAAATATATAATATACTAATAACCTGGAGCATTTGTATGAAAGCCTGTTAAATACAGCTATTTTTCATGGCTGAATTTTTTTCCTGGCAGTCAAGATACAGACTAGAAAGCACAGAATTCACCCTGCCACCCCCCCAAAAAAAGTCAGATTTGAGTAAGAGGAAAGACAATGAGCCTAAATCTTGGTGAGCCTTCTTCAGTTTCTAGACCCTTCTGTGGAAAGAAGTGTTTTCATAAGATTCAGACAGAATTCATCTCCACAGAGCGTTCTTAATGGCCCCTGTCAGAACAAAACAGCTGAGAAACATATGGTATCCATTTCCCTGTATCACTTGGAAAAAATTTCACATGTAAATAAAGCCAACATAAAAGAGTAGCCCTTTGAACTCATGACCTTATACAATACATAAATATATTGGTACAATGCACTCATTGTATTGACCTGCTAAGTCATGTGGCTGTATGTTTTTTAATATATTTTGAGATGCGTATTTTTAGAAGGCCCAAAGAAAGCAAGATAATTGGTAAAATATTAGCAAATATCATGCCTCATAATAAGTATGTATCTCAGAAATGTCTGTGAGTATGTTTTCCCACTATGTTTATAATTTTTCAGAAGGATAATGAGTAAAAACTAAAGGCATATTATACCTTATAAATTCCATGTTCACTATCTCTATTCTGTTTTATGTAAGTAAGTGATCATGTGTTCTGAAGGAAGAGAGAAAGCCTTGGCAGAAATTTCTGGCAAACATGAATTTCTCATAGTTTCACATTTTTAGAGAGAATGAAAACTTCTAAATTTATAGGGGACTAACTGGAATTAATCTTTGCCTTTACATATTTACATGTCATAAATAACTTTAGAAAATATAGCTTTTATTGGTGATTATCAGTGCTCAGAGTTTATTAGCAGGACTTTTGTTCCCTGTGAGATTAAGTTGTAAATCCCTCAAAAGGATTCACTGTGTGCATTTTTAAAGATTTAATGAATCATACAAAGTGAGATTCAAATTCACGTACTTGTATCTGTTAATTGTCTTCTTAGGCCAAGTACTGTATGCAACCAAGAACTCAAACCAAGAAAATGGGACAGAAGCAGCAGTCTGGGGCCATCTAGATACCATCCATCCCTTCTGGACATTGTCTGTTATATAATACTGGAGAAACCAGTTCTCTCTTCACAGCTCCTTTTATTCTCTTCTTAGCTTCTAGAATGCCAGAGCTAGAAAGGCCTTAGCAATGGACTGCAAATTGTACATTATCTGAAATTGCATTCCAAATTGTAGTCACTTTTAGGAAAAGAATTTAGTTATAGAACAGTGGTGATCAGAACACTCACTCTTATCCCCTCTGTCCTTAAAGTTACACTGTTGTAAAGTTGCGCTGTTGTTAAAGTTACAGACCTGGAAATACACACCTGTCTGCGGTCCTTTCATTCCTTGGCTGTGCTTTGTTACAAAGAACACACAAGTGTACTTCCTTTGGCCTTAGACTTTTCCTTACCTACAGTTGTCCAGAGCAGGAGACAGATAAGAGATCCCTAGGTGGAGGGCATGCCTTGAAATCTTTGATGGGGGATGGTAAACTAGGAGGAGAGCAGCAACCTATAAATCAGTGGCCTGCAAGCTTCCTAGGGTGCAGTGCTGGGTCATCTTTCATCCAGCAGAAGAGTATCCCAGAGAGGAAGCAGCACCATCACACATGAGAACACTGAGGCTCTTCCACCTCCCTGCCCCAAGAGGGGATATCAGGTGGCCTCACATTAAACCTAACTAAAAAGGCAATGGGTCTTATCTTTTACCTCCAGTGTATCTGGTTGTTTCACTTTACGCTCCAGCTCAAGCGGACACTACCATCTTTACTTGAACTTGGCACAGAAGTGAGAAAAAACTAGTCTGCCTACCCCATCCTTCTATAAATTTCTCTTCCTCCTCTTTGTTTTCCAGCTTTTCTATGTCAGGGAGCATTAAATCTTTTTGTGTGTGTGACAATTTTATTTTTTATTTTATTTATTTTATTATTTTTAAAATAAATTGTATTTTATCCCACTCCACTCCCTCCCCTTAAGCCCCCACCCCTCCCTATGAACAAAAGCTTTGTTTCCATTTTTTCCTTCTATTTTCACTTTTTTTCTTGTCCCTTCCTTTCTCTGTCCTTCCTCCCTTATTCTCCTTCCCATTTGAACATTTTCTGCCCTTTTCCCATTTCCCAATATATATTACACATTTTAGTCCTTATTTCCACTTTTGGTTTCTCACACCAGAGAAACACTGTGGTATTAAAATGTGTTTATTCCACTTAGGAGTATGGTCTCAAGGTCCATCCATTTAGCTATAAATGTCTGAAGCTCATCCTTCTTTATGGCTCAGTAGTACTCCATTGTATAAAAAAACCCACATCTTCTTTATCCACTCATTGATTGACAGGCATTTGGGCTGTTTTCAAGACTTAGCTATTACAAACTGTGATGCTATAAACCTGGGTACACATATATCGCTGTGTTATGATGTTTTTAATGCTTTGGGGAAGATATCAAAAAGAAGAATAGCTGGGTCAAATGGAACCTTTAGTTGTAGTTTTTTGAGAAGTCTCCACACTGATCTCCATATTGGTTGTACCAGTTTACACTCCCACCAGCAATGGAGAAGGTTTCCTTTTCCCCACAGCCCCTTCAGCATTTGTTATTGGGTGATTTCTTGATGGCAGTCATTCTTTCTGGAGTGAGATGGAATCTTAGCATTGTTTTAATTTGCACTTCATGAATGACCAGTGATATTGAACATTTTTTCATATATTTATTTGCTGTTTCTAATTCTTCATCTGAGAAGTGTCATTTCAGATGCCCATTTTTGTATTGGGTCTTTTTCTAATTCTTCATCTGAGAAATGTCTTTTCATTTCAGATGCCCAGTTTTGGATTGGGTCTTTAAATTAGGGGGGGTCTGATTTTTTTGAGTTCTTTATATATTCTAGATAATAATCCTTTATCCGATGACTAGGTGGTAAAAAATAGTTTCCCATGCTGTGGGTTGTCTCTTCACTCAGTTGGTGGTTTCTCTGCTGTGCAGAAGCTTTTTAATAAGATTAGGTCCCAGTTGTTGATTCTTTATAGTATTTTCCATGCAATCTGCATTTTGTTCATGAAGACTTTGCCTACTCCTGTGTCCTCAAGTGTTTCACCTATTCTCTCTTCCAGTTGATTTAGTGTTTCTGTTTTAATATTTAGATCTTTGATCCATTTCAATTTTAGGTTAGTGTATGGTGAAAGATATGGGTCTGGTTTGAATCTTTGACATGTGGAAAGCCAGTTTTTCCAGCACCATTTATTAAAGAGTCTTATCTTTCTTCCAGTGAAGGTATTTGGCTCCTTTGTCAAAGATTAGGTGGCTGAGTATGTCTGGAGTTGTTTCTGCATCTTCTAGTCTGTTCCGTTGATCCTCAGGTCTGTTCTTTTGCCAGTACCATGCTGTTTTTATCACTGTAGCTTTGTAGTATAATTTAAAAGCAGGGATTGTGATACCCCCTGCCTTGCCTTTGTTGCCCAGAATTGCTTTTGCTATTCTAGGTTGGCAGCATTAAATCTTAAAATGCATGTTCTATTGCAAAGTATGAGTCCACTGTGTTGTATCATATGCCAGAAAATACTGTGAGATGCTCCTCCCTAATGGTTCACTAGGATGTTTACTCTAGGCTGGGGTTAATTCAACTGTGATTTGTCTCTCATAGCCCATTCAACTCCTGACCACTTCATTCCTTTCTGTTTTTTCCCCAACCTCCAAATGGAAAGCTGCTGGGTCACCCAGTAGGTCACAGTTGGAGTTTGTATAACATTAAATAACTTACCCTTTCTTTGTATGGGACTTATTAAGCATAGAGCTGTGTGATTGTGGGTTTACATGTACATGTTTGAACATATGTATGCATATATCCCTTTTCTCCCAATTTAGTTTGGAAGTGTAACACAGCCTTCCATCCTCTAGTCCTGTGTTTTCAGGGTAGTGGCAAATACGGAAATATTGCCAGAAATATAGATCTATCCAGTGAATAAATCTAAGCATCTGAGTTTGCTTCCTTTAGCACTCTCTTTTTACCATTCAGCTACGTTCATTAATTTGGGCCCTGTAGATCATGATTTTACTGTAGCATTCACTGTGTTTAGTAGTAAGTTTGAATTCTTTATACTATGGACATGTATCCCCTTTAAGATATACCCTTACACAGGGGCATAATTTGAGCATAACTTGAGTGGATCATGTGTGCCTGCATGACCAAGATGTGTTCAGCATTCCAGTTTAACAGTCTCTCTTTTAATTTTTTTTAAAAAACAGTTTCTAGCTCTAGCTGGAATTGTGGTATCTCAACTCTCATTACAAACACACAGAAGCCCACAGGCATCGCTGATGTATACAGTAAGTTCCGCCCAGTGAAGCGGGTTTCCCCACTGAAACATCAGCCAGAGACTCTGGAGAACAATGAAAGTGATGACCAAAAGAACCATAAGGTGGAGTACCAGAAAGAGGGTGACCCCGACCAGGGCCCCCAGACTGAGGAGCTTGGCCCTGAAGATGGAGTTGGGGGCTTGCCCGGGAAGAGCTCTGAGCCTAGCTCTGCACTGGGCGAACTGGAACACTATGACCTCGACATGGATGAGATTCTGGATGTGCCTTACATTAAATCCAGCCAGCAGCTTGCCTCTTTTTCCAAGGTGACTTCAGAAAAAAGAATTTTGGGTTTATGTACAACCATCAATGGCCTTTCTGGCAAAGCCTGCTCTACAGGAAGCACTGAGAACTCATCATCCAACATGACACCATTTTGTGTCCTTTCTCCTGTGAAAAGTCCTCACTTGAGAAAAGCATCAGCTGTCCTCCGTGACCCACACAAGCTGTCCACTGGAGAATCTGAGAGTTCACCTCCTCCTATTAAATGTGGCTCTGCATATGAGCCTGAAAGCCAGAATAAAGACTTCTTAAACAAGGCCTTTAATGATCCACGTAATCGAAAAATTGAGAAGACAATGCCTGACTGCCAGCTCAGGGCCTTCCACGTGCAGTCCTCAGCAACAGAACCCAAACTGGATGAGCAGGTCAATGGTATGAACTGGACCAGCTCCCAAGGCCTGGAAGAAAGGAATGAGTATTTGAAAAAAGTAAAAAGCATCTTGAACATCGTTAAAGAAGGACAGATATCTCTCCTAGTGAGTATGCCCTAGTTTGGGATATATATTAATAATCTAAAGATTCCATTTTTGTCAGCTTTGTTCATAGAACAAAGGTGCATTTGTTTTGCTTATTGCTTAATCTTTACTTTTGGCTTTAGTTGGGATATGTGACCTTTTCAGTTTTAAAACAAAAAGTTAGAAGATTAATACAAGAAAAGCAAATGGCCATAGGAGGAGTTAGGAGGTTGATACGGGGAAAACAAATGGCCGTAGAAGTAACGTTACTTCATTTTAACTTTGCATGAATTCAACTGAAATGAAAACATTTAATCTAAAACTAAAACAAAAAAGAGAACCCAATACTTTCTTTCCCTTGAATGTTAATAGCACTGTTTCTGCTTTTCACATGGTTTACAGGGCTCTTGCTCAGTTATTTGCTAAGATGTCAATTCTCTGCTCATGGCGTACCCTACCAGATATGTGAACAGAGTCTTCTGTTTTAGCCTGATCATTATTCAGAAATGTTGGACCAGGATATTTGAAAAGCATTTGCAGATAGACACTTATCCTAGAGCTTGACTGCCCTGTGACCCATATGGAGTTTTTACTTAGTTCCAGCTCTGCATGTGTAAGGAGCACAAAGAAGCATTTCCAAAGAGCCTGGACACAGAGTAACAAGATGTAAGAAAAGCCTGTTCTGCTTAGGCACAGAGAGAGCTTTACCAAAATAGCACTCCATCTGCCTCCATTGTTATATTCTGGCTACCAGATATGAATCAAACAGTAGCAAGCCTGGGCTCATAGTATGATGCTAATTAAACTCACATTCAAGAAAATCATTGCATTTTGGCAATGTGACTGTAATTAGTGTGAAACCACACATAGATAAAGTACAGTGCTCTTGGTCTATTATCACAAATATTGTTATACTAGGACAATATGTTTAAACAATTTTACCAAATATAAGTGATAAATTTTTGTCTCCTGCAAATGTCTTTTCCATGTTTTCCTTGTTCTTCTAATTCTGCTTGCTTTTTCTTTTCTTGTGTTCTTGCCATTTTTTATGTTTCCCAAATGCTAATATTGCTCACTTCACCCAACAGACTCAACCACTTCATCTTCAAGGGACTACATTTCACTAGAAGTGAGAAAAACCAAAGCCAGGTAGCCTCCAGATGTCCCCAGGAGTCTCTGGGGTGGTAGTGTCCAGAGATACCTATCAGAGCCCTAGTAGCTATAGTTATGTAGTTGGTAGTCAAAGCCAGTTCTTGACAATTCTATACCAAGAAAGTAGGTCCAAACAAGTATTTTGTTCATTCTACAAACGTGCAACAGAAAGTGAAACATATCCCCTGCCCTTGAGGACTCAGCAGTCAGGTGGAGAAGTCAGAGAGCAAACCTTCCTCTTGCTATAAATGTCACTGCAGTTCAGAAAGCCATCATATGGTAACAGATTTATAGAATGGAGCTCAGATTTACTAGATTCCCACACTGCCACCAGAGCTTCTGTAAGCACATTTCTTCTTCCCATTGCTCACAGCAAAACCCCTGCAGTGTCTTGTTCGGTTTATTGACTTAAATTTTCTGATCATACCATTTATACAGCCACACCTAGCTGCAGACAACCTGGACAAAATTCATGATGAAAATGGAAACAATCTGCTTCACATCACTGCATCCCGAGGACACGTGGAATGCCTGCAGCACCTCACCTCACTGATGGGGGAAGATTGTCTCAATGAGCGCAATGCTGAGAAGCTGACCCCAGCAGGCCTGGCCATCAAGGTGACTGTCAGGGTCATTAGATTTCTATTTTTTAAGATTGCTTGTGAGAAGAAGTGTTGGAAGGGAAAGACAGGAGAGTGATTTATCAAGCAAACAGCAAATGAACATGGTACATGTAAGAGAGGAATTATTTCAATCACTCACTGCTTTGAGATTTTGAGACTACATTCCAGTTTATTGTCAGTGAAAGTGAGCTCCAAAGCAGCCAATAGAGAGAAAGGAAAATGATGTGTTATACTGCTGAGAACTTTTGTTATTCGTGGTGATTACAGTTTAGATTTTTAACCACACCTGATCTATCAGAGACTATGTTAACTTTCTCCTAACGTGAGAATCATGACCAAGACAAATAAGAAAAAGGTGCATTTTAAGGGATGCTAGCACTTGGGAGTATTTCAGATAGTAAAGTGGGCTTTTAATAGATCAGGTCTGAAGTTTAAATGTCTTTAGGAGAGCTGTTTAGAATATCAGTGTGGATTTCACACTTAGCTCTTGCAGAGAACAATGTGCTGTCAAAACTGCAAACTGGATTTATAACATGGCACTGAGTTCCTCTGTAAAATGTAACATATCACTGGAAGGTTAGGGGATAACCTAAAATTACTTTTAAGATCTTTGGAAAGCAAATGTGAAATACAGTCATATTAATTAAAAAGCCAGAAGTGATGTAAACATAATGCATCTTGAACTTCTGCAAATACTTGGCTTTACATAATAGTTTATCTTCTTTTTTTTGGTACCAGGGATTGAACTTGGGTCCTTAGCTTGCGAGGCAGGCCGTGGAACCACTGAGCTAAATCCCCAGCCCAATAGTTTATCTTCTAAAAGCCAAATATTCATAATTTTTTATAAATGGACTTATATTGCTAATGATGAGGGGAACTTGCTAAAGAAACCTACTGTGAATACGCAGAACATATTACATTCAAAAAACAATCCACTATTTTTCCCAATATATGCAAAGGTAATTTGTATATCTTTAATTTGTTTACCATTCAATAAAGTTTTATGTATTAAAAACATGTTCTATCTTATTTAATTTGGCTCAGTGGTAAAGTATGACTTCAAAAATAGTATGGAAAATATTTCTTTTATAAACTAAGAATCTGTGATCCTGGTAGATATCATTTTCCTCTGGTTATGAATGGTGTTATGTCAAATCAAGAGCTGTACTGCAGCAACTGTCATGAAGAAAGAGATCAAATGTGAAGGAAAGCTCAGTAGACTGAAGTTCAACAGTGAGTACCAAATCTACCTGGTGCTGTGTGAGGTGCTAGCTTCTGAGTAAGACATGGTCCCCTTATGGAGCTGAGCACCTGGGGAAAGACAGGCATGTTATCACTAGTCCCAGTGTAGGATGATAGACTCAGGGCACAGTCATGTGACAAAGTCTTATGGGAAGATAGGGGTTGGGAGTGGTCATCAGTGAACAATAAAATATTTTTTCAGTGTCGGTGAATGCTGACATTTGCCTTGATATTTTTGTGTTTATAAAATACAGTTCTCATTGGATTTTGTGACTAATGGTAGATTACTGAGTATCTCCTAACTATGTAGTAGTTGGATGACAGCATTTTATCTTCACTTATATGCCCTAGCTAGTGCTTATTTTGCTAGATTAAAAATCTCTGAGTAGGAAGGTACATAAGAAACATAGCGGCCATTAAGCCAACCCTCAGGATAACACATTCTACTGTCTCTCTATATAGGTGTTAATTCAGTCCAAAATTCCTGCAGTCAACAATATTGCCACCATCCCAGAAGTCTGCAAGCTTAAATAATCATTTTTTAAAAAGTTGTTTGAATAAAAAACACATATCAAACCCATAAGACTCGAAGCCTTCGCAGATTTGTGGTCTCAGGCTTCTCATGTTTTGCTTCTGAACAATAATTTGAGAAATAGAAGTGTCCCTCTGTTCCATTATTTAATCTAAAATTTGTAAAGAGTAGTAAGTACAAATATTTTGTAACAGCTACCACTCCTTTTAGCATCTATTTTGATACATACCAATTCAGTCCATTCAGTGTACTCTGACAGACACTGAGAAGTTGAGAGAGTTCTAAGGAGTCATCGTTCTTCCATTTTAAAACCTTGTTTTGAACACCAGTAACCAACCACTGGTGTTTGACCTCATTAAACAGTGTTCTGAGAGCCCTGATGTAAAAACAAACATATTTTGTACAAACGTGAAAACATTTCTTGGATAATATGACTTGGCTGACAGGAAACAGGCTCAGAGGTAAGGTATCAAATAAGATTACCTGAGCAAAGGAGCTTTAAAGTCATACCAGAGTTTAGGAACATCTCTCCCTTATTCTTAAACTCTTTAAATGGATCGCAAGAAATAGTGTCAGTTGCAAGCAGAATTTATCAAGTGTTTTTCAGGGATCCAGCAATAGATACTTTGGAAGTTCAGCATGTTGTTGAGCATCCTTTGGAAATGGTTAAGCAAAGAAATTGGAAAGAAACATTTCTAAAATACCTCCTTTCTAAAGCTGTCTGTTTTCAAAAATGAGATTAGCAGAAGAAATTATTTTAGTAGCTAAGCAGACTTGGAATGAAATAACTTTAATTTCCTTTCATTTCTCATTCAGTTGTTTGATTAAACCCAAAGGCAAACTGTCGGCCTGGTAATAATATGATTTCAAACACATAAACTTAGTGATATTCTTTTTAATATATACTCCATGAACTCAGACTTTGGCAGGCAAACTTCTGCTAAAATTTAATAATTTGTCTTTTGTGTGTTTTCTTGGTGTTTATATTAATGGCAAATGATACTGGTTTCATACTAGTAGTAGCAATATATTTCCTCTGTGTTTTTTGTTTTGTTTTGTTTTTGGTACCGGGGATTGAACTCGGGTCCTTATGCTTGCAAGGCAGGCAGCGGAACCACTGAGTTAAATCCGCAGCCCTCCTCTTATGTTTTTAATAGCATTTTATTTTAAATGTTGACTCATTAAATAACTACATCTAACATTTTTCTGAAAGAGTAACCAACAATTGCAGGATATACATTCTTGTTAAGTGCATATGGAACACTTTGGGGACAGATCATGTGTTAGAGTACAAAACAAATCTTAATAAATTTGAAAGGACTGAAATACAAATTTATGACCTTCAATCATAATAGAATTAGAAATCATTAACAGAAGGAGATTTAGGATACTCACAAGTGTGTGGAATTAACACTCTAACACAAACAAATGTCAGAGAAGAAATAAAAAAGGAAATTAGAAATTACTTGAAGCTGAATGAAAACAACATACCCACATTTACAGGTCGCAGCCAAAGCTGCTCTGAGAGGGAGATTTACAAAGAAAGGAGAAAAGAGAAAGACCAAGATCACAAATCAATAGCCTAACCTCCCTTAGGAAACTAGAAAAAGAAAACCAAACTAAATTCAAAGCAAACAGCCGGAAGGAAATAATAAAAATTAGAGTGTAAATAAATGAAATAGAGAATAGCAAAAATAATAAAGAAAATCAACAATACCAAATTTGGTATTGAAAAGATAAGGAAAAAAATAAGCTAATTTAGTTAGACTGAGCTGTGTTGCTTTACATTTCTTTCTCTTCTTTTTTTTAATCTAGAATGGCCAGTTGGAGTGTGTACGCTGGATGGTGAGTGAAACTGAAGCCATTGCAGAATTGAGTTGTTCTAAGGATTTTCCAAGCCTTATTCATTACGCAGGTTGCTATGGCCAGGTACGGAGTTTCTAAGCATTTTACCTTTGTGTGCTATATAATCCGTTTTTTTCATTATTGGGTTCATCACAGTGCAAACTTTAAAAAAATCATCAAATAAAATCCAAAAATTTATAAGCAATGCTATTCATCATAGGGCACTTTAATGAAGAAATATTTTAAATGACCTAATTTATTTACTAAATAATGAAGCTACATTCAAAGGATGGAATTTTATGAGAAAATAGTCACTACATAATATTAATTAAAATGTATAATACAAAACTATTTCTGTAATTTGGTAACAACTGAATTTAGAAAAACAGAAAGAGAAATAAAATGTAAGACTGGTAAAAACTAAGGTACAACCTGTTTACAGTCACTCAGGGTGGAATTACAAGAGGCTTTTGTGTATATGTATTTTTTCAATTTTTTACAATGCATTTGATCTTTATCAAAAAGAAATATTTTTATTGAATTCAAAGTTAAAATCTTTATAAGATATTAATCAAGGAAGTCTCATGAAAATAAGCAAGCACACTAACTCTGTCTTAGTTACAACTAATTTCACATTACAAAATCCTAAGATTAATAATTAATGTACACAGATCACAGTCCAGTTTATGGAGTAAAAAGTCCCTGCTACCCTTTGAGGAAGACAAATGTAAATTTTCTTTTAAAAACATGGGAACCACAAAATGCAAATTCAGTCTTAAAAGATAATAAAGTCAGCACTGTATTAAAATAGATTTAATTGTATTTGTTTATGGCAAAGAAAATTGTTTCTCATGCATATAATCATGTCTACTTTGGCTTCATAAACTTTCCTAGTAGCAGTAAATTGTATTGTCAACAGGAGATTATGCTTTTTCAAGCATAATTTGAGATTGATAATCTCAAATTCAAAAACTAGGCTGAAGAACATTACCATGGTCTGTCTGTAGTGGGAGTCATGCTGTGTTAGAGTATCTTCAGTTACTACAGATATAAGTGTATATCTTAAACAATGTAAACATGTTCTGTATGTGTAAGCAGGCTCCATGTCATTGGATTTTGTGTACACTATCTGATCTTCAAAACAGTCATATGAGATCTAATTTTATAGCTGAGGAGACAGGAAAGTTAAATGACTCACGTGGTTAGTGGCAAAGACTAGATCTCAGTTCAGGTCCTCTGACTTTAGGGCCAAATTCTGTTTTGTCCCCATCTGTAGAGATAATTTGTACGAAGTGTTACAATGGCATTGATATAGATAGGTGAAGAAGACTTTTTTTTACAATTTTATCCGACAATATATGGTGCTATTCAGAACACTTCAAATAGCTCACTGAAGTGAACAGGTAACTGTGAAATTCATGAAATGAAGAAAGGAGGAGGAGAACATTTAAAACACATACAAGCCACTGTTTTTGAAATACAACAATTGCCATATTTTCGCTGTACATTGTACTTAGTCCCATCCCCAGTGTCCTAACAACAATCAATAACAATTCATAGGCATTTGCTAAGGATGCATTTTTTTGCTTAGACTGGCAAAAGGGAAAATAAAAATTTCAAAAGATCGAAGAATTTTATCACTGTTAATCTTTGTAATTTATTTGCAGTATAAGACAAATTTTTATTAAGTTGTATAAATAATAATTTCATGTCCCTGTCTTCATTTGCCTATCCAAAGCCTGATGAGGACTTGTAGAGATATTGGTGGAAAGGCTGCCTGAAGAGAGTCTGTCAAAGGAGAGGAGTAAAGGATTGCAGGACCGTGTGGAAACTCTAAGTGAATTAATTCAGCATTCAGCATTTTTTTCTTGAGCAATTATATATACCAGTTTCTTTATTCAACTTTCACAGCAGGTTTCTGATAATTTTGAAGCTGTTGAGCTAGAACAAAAGATAGTGCCCTTTCTAGGACTGGCTGGGTGATATCATGGCTTATTTGACTAAACTAGGGGAAAATATGGAAATTGGTGACCTATTTGAAGAGCAGTGTTGTTTCTTGCTAGTATCAATCTTTAGGTTATTGCAAGCCGATAAGTATTTTTAGGATCTAAAATTTAGCTTTGAGGAGGACAGCCCAATCCCTTAGGAGATTCCTACCCAAGTGGAAAATGTGGAAGCCTGTTAACTTTGGGAATCCTGTCCAGCCATCCTGCATCCACCCTGCCACTTATGTAACAGATAACCTGCAGAGATGCTGAACTTGGAACCGTTACAAGGCTAATATTTTCACAAGGAAGACTGTTATTGAACTGTTTTCTAATGGACTCAGCACATGCAAGTTTTCCTACATCAAGCAGGCATTTGAGTATGTCCTGGTTTTGTTTCTTCAGTAAATACCTCTGGCAAGGATAGTACTGAGGAAAATTCCTCTAGGTTTATTTTAGTTACCCTCTGCCCCTCATATAGATTCAAAACGAATGGGCTTCATTTGACTCCTAATTTGTGTCTTTCTCTTATAAAAATTACCTTTAAAGAGTCCAGTACCACAGGGTAGCCAGCAGTTTTTAGTGGTCTCCTGGAGTGATAGCTCTTCCGGTGATAGGAATTGATTCTCCTCTTCTTGACACTTGAAGTCTCAGAGGGTGCAATTATTTCATTGTCTGATTGTACCTAGTAGAGCTAGCCAGAGGGGGTGTGAAGGTGAAGACCTCAGGGAGATTCAGGAACAGAGCAGGGTGTCCTTGGACAGGCCTTCCTGACTCCCTTGGGGAGGAAGTCTCACCACAGCGATTCAGACAGAACCATGTTGATTCAAAGCCTCTGCCTGTGTGACTTGGGCTGCTTTATCTAAGCACTAAGGTTCCAATTTCTTGGCCAGGCTCTCCTACCAGAGCTTCTTAGCAGGCATGGGCTAATCCTGCATGGATCATTGGGCTCTGTATGACGCTCAGCAGCTCACCTGCAGTTCTTTTTGTTTCTGAATCATTTGTGTAACTTTCAGTCAAGATATTCTTTTACAGAAACAAGCCACTGTACATCGTTACACTGAGCATTTACGAAGAGCACTTTTGCTACACTATTTATTTTCTTTTTAAATGTTTCCTGACATAGATTTTTTAAAGAGCACTTTTAAATCAGAAAGTATTTTTTAATCTTTTTTGTTTCATTCATGTTATTTTTATTAGTGCATATAAATTATAGTGAATATTAGGTTGGATGTGACATTTTCATATATACATGTAACATACTTTATCATATCTATACCTTCTGTTACCCTCTCTTCCATTCCCCTTCTCCTTCTTCCAGTCCCCTTACCTTTATCTAATAGACTCCCTAAAAGAGTATTTTTGAAAAAAAGAGAAAAGAAAAGAAAAGGCTCAACAGTTCCTATGAATTGTTATAAACAGTGATAGGTAAGCTGGTAAGAAGGATATTTCTACAGGTATTATTGTTGTTTTCCTCCACAGTTTACTGTAAAAAGGAGAAATATTCCCTCCTTGAATTTACTGTTTGACAGTCATGAGGCAGAAGTAGTAAACAATCTGAAAGTGCTGGTGATTGCAGATGAAAAAAAGAGAAAAATCTCTGTTTACCATGCACATCTATCTGCTCTCCAAGTACTGATCTTGGAAAACACAACTGATCCAGAGCTCTACAGACTCACAGATGGATAGGCAGGGCACAGAGGGAGTCTGTCCTTTGGAGTCTGGCCTTTGGGGAATGAGAAGTTGTGCAAACGCACACTCAGAAGACAGAAAATAGTTGTAAAGGTCCCTATTTCAGTTTTCTGGATTTTAATCCTGGCCCTTCCAATTACTAGTGGCCTTGGATGCATTCATTTAAAAAAAACAAAGGGAAGAAAAGGTCTCTTGAACTGCAGTTTCCTCATTTTTACTGTAGAGATAATGCAGTCTTCCTCATAGGGTTGTTCTGAGGGCTGAGAAAAATCACATTGCGCAGCATAGTGTAGGCACTGGGTAAATGGTGGCCATTCTGACTTTTTGATGTCTTTCAATTTGTTGTTTTTATTGCTATTGGTATTATTTATTTACCTATTTAACCATAAGTAAAGAGAAACATGAAAAGAATTATTTAGGCCTCAACCTATTTAATCAATTTTTATATGCAGTGTTTTTTTTTTTTTACATCTTACCATCTCAGGATTCTACATTTATCTTACAGTAAATTACATTATGAAATTATTATTGGACCTTTTTTTTACATTTTAATATCTCAAAAACTGGAATGAAACTTAAAGTTGATGTATTAGATTTAATGATCTATGATTGCAAACAAAGCTGAATGCTTCAGAACTTATGATTATACTACAAACTATGGAGATTTTATTGATACCAGCAATAAACCTATGACATGTTTTTCAATCAAATTTTTATTAGGCTTTGTCCAGCAAATCTCATAAATTATGTGTATTAATTGCCTCTTTAAACAACTTCCATTGTCTTTGGGAACACATAAAATACAACATTAAAACAGGTTATCAGAAAATCCCCAGAACAGGAAACTAGTGTATGAAAGAAGTTTTCAGCCAATAGATACAAGCTGAATATGCAGATGGGGATATGTGAATGGGTGAAAGGTAAGTTAGACATTCTGTAATGAAACAAATAATACAGAAGGGCTTCTCCATGCATATGACTACATTGGATATTCTCTGAAAGCAATACTTACGGGGAAATAAAATCTGAAGTTACATTCTTCCTTTAACATCTCAACCTGGGAAGGGGGTGGGGGCGAGGTGGAAAAAGGGAGTAGGAAAGAGAAAGAAAGAACATGCACTAAAGGGTTAAGAGAAGTAGTAGACATATTACATATGAATAAGGGCTTTCTGTCTGGAATAACTAGCCACAGGTATTTGGTCCTCCTTATAAGGTATTTTTCAAATAAGTTTGTAGGACTGTGTTTCCACAGGCATGTTCTCCAGAATCAGCAAAATTTCTTAAGATTGGACGCTAAATATACTTTTACCAAAACCACGGATATTAGCCATCTTCTCATCTATCTCAGAAACCCTAAATATGGGTTGTTAGAAGACCAAATGTGTGTCAGCCTGTCCCTTTGTCCAGTACTTCTCTGCACGGTATGATAGGGAAGATACTTATTTCAGTATATGAGTGGACAGGCCAATTGCATATCTTCTTATGGAAGTAAATTGTCCTACAGAAAACAGAAAAGTAAATTTGAGATGTTGGGTAAACACCTGTTTTATCCTAAACAATCAAAAATGGTTTTCCCTTTATATAAGTCTTGCATTTTGAATCGGGTTAGATCTCTAATTGGCATCATAAGGAAAGAAGGCAGGTTATTATAACAGTACAGACTGAGTCTGGCTTGGAGAGCCATCAGGAGCCAGGCCAGCTCTTTCATGACATACACAGACTTTGTGTGTCTTGTTCTCCCAGAATTAGGACTAACCCCCAGATTTCCACAACAGGAAAATTCCTTGTATTACGGAGTACATTATTCCATTGCCTATGACCCTGCCACTAAAAACCAACATACTGTAATGTTAGTAAGGGTGTCTTTATGCAGGTGGAATAGATGTAACCACTATAATATCTATGTCTGAAAAGAATGGAAATTTGCATGGCGGGAAGCATGGGTAAAACGTTTCTGAATATTGTGAACACCTCTGAGCTTTACTTGCTGAAGAAGCAGCCCCTAGAAATCAGAGAACCCACAGTTGTACTCTCCCTCAGTTTTCAGGTTTATAAAATAAGGCTGTTTGAATTGGATAATTCCCTAAAATTCCTTCCAGTCTGCAGTTTAAAGAGTGCATGATTTAATATCATGGAGCAAGTCAAGTCACCACAAGCTTGTAAATGTCCCTTTGAAGAAGATATGATCTCCATATGGTGGGACCTTCTTTTTCTCCAGTGGAGGTACAGCAGCCTGCCCTCAAGCAATTTCAGTGTATCTTAGCCATGGACTTCAAACCAGTGGTTAACAGAATCCAATAGAATTTTTATCTTGGGATACTTTAACTCATTGAGATTTTTAAGCAGTTAAGATCACATGGTGTAATCTATTTCCACTTAAAAGTAATCCAGTGGTTTTCCTCTACCTAATTGGAAAAGGTAAAGGAAGTACCTTTACTTCAAGCCTGTGAGAACATTACCTGTTCTATTTCAAGTGTCAGCCCCAACTTTCTCCCAGAGAGAAGAGAGTTCCGTATATGAGAATATCTTTATCCAACTGCCGACTCCCAGCCCTGGCTTCCAGCCTCTTTTCCATCCTGTTCTCTAGGGACCTTTGAGGGTTTCACTTTCTATAAGGTCTGTCTGCTTTTGCAGCTAAGACTCACCTTGCTCTTCCAGGTTCATACTTGGGAGGTTATAGGCATTTATTATATTTTTGTCTTTTTCCTCTTTAGAAGTCTTGCTTCCTTACTTCCTGCTTGCTCGTTTGGAGAAAGTGTGGTGCAAATGTTCAGTCTGCCCCTGATGTCTGATACCTTCATAAATAGTGCCCTCTTCCCAGCGTATGGGATGAAAACATTAAAGGAGTTCTCTGTTTTTATCCAACATTCCTTTAGCAGATTAGTTGGCATGTTCAGAAGATGAAGGCAAATTTAATCCAGAAAAGTATAAAGTTCATGACCGGTATGAGCAAATAACTGGGAAAAAAATCCTTTAAAAGGCTAAGGAGAAAAAAGTTCAAGGCTATTTCAAACACATGATCATTTTTTTAAATGTCAAATTCCACTCACTAAACCTCATGCTGTTGTTTTTACCACTCTCGTATTTTTTTAACTTTATATTTAATTATTCTATTTTAAAACAGTGAAATCCCATCCCCCTGCTTTCTTGAAAAGCCTAACATAACATGAAAATACCGCAAAACATTCGGTGGGTAAAATGCAAACAGATTATGATGAAACATGCCGACTGATTTATGACTTTGCCTTTGAAAGGTTTGTGTTCAGAGCTTTTGGCTCCCTCTCTTTAATATCAAAGAAGAAGTTTTACTTTAACACTACCACCACTTGGTCTTCCAGAAAAAACAAAAGGTTCCTGGTTTTTGTTCAGTGACTTTATCTTGTACTTGACATTATAAAGTGTTGCCTCTTTATGTAAGTATTGATTGCAAAAGGTATGGGATTAGTAGGTTTCAGAGTTATAAACAGTTTCAGGATTATGAATTTAAAACTAGAAGTTATTTATCTCAGTAGTTTAAGGTTTTCTGCTAATATGGTTGAAGCTATACACACTTTAACACAGTAGTAAAAACATTTTCTCAGGAGCTTTGGAATCAAAAAACCAGGATTCTAATTCTAACTTTGGATTTGTCCAGCTGTGTGACTTTGAGAAAGTGCTCATACTTTGTGTGAATCTGTTTTTTTTTTCTGTAAGTAAGTAAAGCAAGAGTATTTCCAAGGTAACTCCCTGCTCTTAAAATCCTCCACTTGGTCTTCTTTCATTGACTTCAGTCAGATTCATGAATTTTCCATTCCTATTGAATGAGAATTTTCCTGATATGATAATCTTGGTTTAATGTACTCTTTACAAGTTAGAGAATAGTTTTCTGTTGTCTTTATTTTGACTTCTCTTCATGATATTCTATTAATTCCATGTGTTCTTGTGTGTAGGAAAAGATTCTTTTATGGCTTCTTCAGTTCATGCAAGAGCAAGGCATCTCACTGGATGAAGTGGACCAGGATGGCAACAGTGCTGTTCATGTGGCCTCACAGCATGGCTATCTTGGGTGCATACAGGTACACGGCCCTGCTGCTCTGCAGGCAGAGAGGATTACATCAAGTAATAAAACAAAAGTCAAAAATTTTGTTCATCAAGACAATGCCTGGATTAAATCACCTTTTGTATTGTAGATACAGAAATTATAATGATGTCTTTTTTTTAAAAATCCACACAAATATAGGTTTAAGTAGCTCTTAGAGTTTTTCCTTCAACATCAGAGGTGTAGAAAGGGACTTTGCCTGCTCTCCCAACGTTATCCTAAAGCCCGGTGCTGAGAACAGTAGTTGGGAAGTATGCCATATTCTCAAGACAACAGGGAAACCACCATGAGACTAACATCTTTCAGTCTCTCCAGCAGTAGACTATTCTTGCTTTTACTATTACATCTTTACTCCAAAGGCAGGTAAAAAAACAAGGCAGATTTTCTATGCATGGATTAGAAGAATTCTTTATAGTGAGTAGTAGGCTACAGTTTTCCCTTTTATTTGTAGTAGGTCTGACCTTCTTGAACGCAGAACCCAAGAATTAGTTAGAGGAAGAAGGTAGATAGTGTTGCTCTCAGGCCTTGAGCAAATGATACAGGCCCTCCTTGGCCAGCCATTCCACCCAATAGCCTCAAGTAGCCCCGTGCACTTAGCCCAGCATACCTTCTCAGCATTCTCGTTTTCTGTGTGTGCTGTGTTGTCACTGCGCCAAAGCCCCTGAGATGTACTCCAAGATCATGGACTTCCTACAGGAAGAAGAGACAGCGTCTCATCTTTCACTTGGATGCAGAGCTGCACAAGTCTGAGTTAAACCTGTTGCCACCATCCAAACAGCACAGCCCTGCAGAGCTCCGCAGTTGTACCCAGAAGTTTGGCGGGTAGTGAACGTAAAAGCATTATCGACCTACAAAATGTTGAAAATCAGAGCAAAGAGAGGAATGGTCAGAAGGAGAGGAGGAGGATCAGTTAGGTGAAGAGGACTAAACCAAACACTAAGGAATATAAAATGAAGTCAAAGTTTAGGTTTGACTTGAAATTTTATTTTTGGTACTAAAATGTAGTCAACAGAATCAGGCCAATCAAAGCATCTTGTTGAAAATCCCCCACCATTTATGAATTTGTTCCTACATCTCAGGGAAAAGAAACTTCACAGCATATGTTTGAAGGCCGTTACTAGAGAAAATACTTCTACCTCAGAGATTTCATATAGTCCGACATGTTTTGTGTATACAGCACTGTTCCACCCTACAAAGCAACACACCTTCTGGCATGTATGTGTGTTGTCTGCTTTATTGCAAACCCAGGGTGCTCATTTATTCAGCAGGTACATTATGTACAAGGTCACACTATGTACAAGGTAGACTAAGCCTGAAACAGAATACTTCTCAGAGAAAACTAGTTGCTTAGAGAGGTAGAGAGAAGTCAGGAAATAGGAGAATATAAGAAAGACAAGATATAATTGAAAAGGAAAGCATAGATAACAGTAGAAAGCTCTCTGTTGACATGAAGCTGTTCTTCAAGAGCTATCTTGGTAGGAAATATTCAGAGTATATGTGTCTGAATGTTTTTCCATTATTATTGGCAGAGCATGCATCTTCTAATTTAAGGGATGGCCTTTAAAAAGGAGTGGTAAGAAATTGCAAAGTATAGAAAAGAGAGAAATTTAACTCCTTATCAGGTTCTGCGGAAAGATGACAGGAGCAGCATTATTCCTTGTGGAGGAATGATAGATGAATTAACACAAATTATAATTTTCCATTTACCCAACACCTCAATATTTAATAGTCTTGAAATAATTTTTATCAGCTATTATTTATGACTGAAAGCCAAAAAAAAAGTTATCACTGATTTTGTTTAAGGTTTTAATTATTTTCCTTTCTAACATGTGAAGAGAGATAGTCTCTCCTTCCAAAGGATTCATCACTCCTCTTAACACAAATGATATTTTTGGCACTAGATAATCTTAGGACAGAGTCTACCCACTGGATATGAGATTTAAAATAAAAATAAAAAGAGACTGAGAGTAAGCAAGGGACCTTATACGGTAGGGAGGAGACCAAGTAAGGAAAACAGCACAAAGAGATGAGTTCAGCATAAAGGGGAGCAATAACAGTGTGGTTTACATTGAGTCTCCTGAGAGCTCTGAGAGCTCGAGGCTGCCCTGTTCTCTGTGGCACCCTGTGAGGCAGGTTCAAGGTATCATGGTAAATTGACCTTTCATGGTGAGTGGCCACAAACCAAAAAGAAAATGAGGCGTTTTATGGCCTCCAATTCTAAGGAGTCTAAGAATTTAAATATAAGTACTGTTTGTGGAAAAAAATCATTACTACCAAAATAAATCTGACAGTATACAATCTCGTCCTGATATTGTCAAAGAACACATCAGAGTGTGGAGGCTGATTAATAGTGTTTAAACAGCTTTCTGTGGAATCATGACATCCCATATAAATACAAAATAGTTTCAATGTTTTTAAATTATTGATTTCAGCCATTCTTCATCCAATCTCCCTCTCCTCTGCCGTAGCCAGACGCTATGACTTTCTGCATGCCTTTGGCTATTAAAATTTACTCCAAAACAATTTAAAATTTCAGTCTTAACATTTTTTTTTAATTTTTCAATCTTATTTCTGATCCAAAGCATTCTTCCCATGCTCACCCCAACCCTGTTAGGGACTTGGAATAGGGAGTAAGACATGACAGGTTGTTATCACTGTAGCTCCTGCTCCCCTGTCCTTTTAAGGCTTCAGTGATGGAGACAAAGAGAGCATATGAAGAAATAAAGCCAGATGTCTCTGCTTAACTGGGAAACACCATAGCCTCCCTGGAAGTTGCCACTGCTTCTTGGTGACTGTGGTCACTGACAATGCTTTGTGGCATCCTTCAAGTACAGGCTCTGGCAGGTGCTGTGGATGGGGCCCACAGTGAGATCTGGGGCCTCTCCCTTTGAACCTGACATGGTACCTTCTCCTTCCCCTACCCACACAGTTTCTATAACCTGTAACTACTTCCAACTATTGCTGGAGACCTTCTCCTTTTGGGGGAACGGGAACATACCACTCACACCAACTTCCCTTCTACAAAGTCTGCTCAATCCACAAACATATCCTTGCCATGGCGTATAGTGGGAGTGTTGGCTGCTTCATAGCCACCCTACTCCCTGTCTTGCTCTTTTCCTTCTGTCCATTTTATTCCTGATCAAATAGACTCAACAAGAAATTAGCAAGTATTATTCCAAAACCAGTTACCAGGGCCCAAGCAAATGGATCCAGGTAAACACAGTGCCACTGTCCCCATCATATAGGCATCTCTGACTTTATGATTAACTCATTTGGAGCCCAGCCATCAGAAGGGACAAAACACTTGCCCATAAACGCCTCAGAAAGGAAAGGACTCTGGGCAGAAGCAACATCTTGCCTGTCCCAGGCACCTCCCTAGTAGGCTGCAGGTGGGGACAGGTAGTAGGCAGACTGGCTCAGCTCCACCTTTGTAGGCTCTAAAGGGAGGCATCTGATATCCTTGGTAACCTCTTACCAACACTGGGCTCTGATGACTGCCTTTAGAACAACAAGAAAAGTCTCATTCAGCATTCTATTATATTTCATTAAAAATGCAATGTTTAGAGGGAGGTCCTGATACAATCATGTATCTCTGCACTTTCTGACAGACCTTGGTTGAGTATGGAGCAAATGTCACCATGCAGAACCACGTAGGGGACAAGCCCTCCCAGAGCGCAGAGCGGCATGGGCACACCCTGTGCTCTCGGTACCTGGTGGTGGTGGAGACCTGCATGTCGCTAGCCTCACAGGTGGTGAAGCTAACCAAGCAGCTGAAGGAGTAAGTGGCCTGTTCTGTGTGAGCAAAATCCAGCTGTCATTGTTGTGCTGAGGTTTCAGCCCAAGGGTTTCGGTAAGCTCCCTTCCGATTGTGGAGGGAATTCTACCATTCTCCTCACCGTTTCCTCCATCCTAGTGCTAAGCCAGGGTTTGCGCTGACCTTGCCATCTCTGTTGAGGCAAAATGATATTTAAACCAAGTGAAGGACCAGCTGTCTGGGCAGGGAATTTAAGCCACAGTGAATCAGGAGAAAGAGCCTTTGTCTGTGTTCACATCTTAGGGTCAGGTTGCAGAGCAGAGTACAGAGAGCATATTTAGGCATTATTTCCGATATGTGCTTAAAATTCTAGGAATCAAAAAGCATGACAGCGAGCAAAAGACAATAAATGGATTGCTTTCTCAGTTTTCCCAAGGAATAAAATTGTATTTGGGAAATTTTTTAAACTTTATAACCATTACCAGCAAATTTATTATAGAAGTTAAGCAGATGCTTCATGAATCCTCAGGATACAAAATAATGTTCACTGTAACTGAAGTCAGTTTTCTTAATATGATTACTAAGTGGGTATACATTGTATATCTGGCTGTCAAGGAGTCATTTCTTGAAGCTTGTCATGATACCTTTGAAGAAGAGAGTAGGATGAGAGTCCATCAGATAGGTTTCTAGCAAGTTGACAGATTGAAGAGCTAATGGTTGCCTGAGGGGACCAAGGCCAGCTCTTGGAAAGCACTCTGATCAAGTTACTGTGGCTGTACTGGTTAAGGTTCCTGAAAATTGGAATCGGTCCTCAAAGTAATGTAATTCAAAGTGATATTGAGAGATTAGGAGTATAAACCTTGAAAGTTAAGCTTTAGAGGAGTAATATAAAGTCGTGCCATATATATATATGTGTGTGTGTGTGTGTGTGTGTGTGTGTGTGTACACTATATATAGCAGATGACTTATGAATATGTACTTTATATAGTATAATATATATACATATATATATGTACACACGTATATAAAAAGTAACATAGTATTCCTAAATACAACTCATTTGGAAAAAAGGCCAGTGTAGATAAGAGGCCTTCATTGATTGTGAGCATGAATCACACAGCAATATGACAATACCTGGACCCTCTTTCCCTTCCTCACTTAACCTCACTGCTTCCATTCTCTTGCCTTTGAGGTCTGTGTCCCTCCTCAGCCAATACCTAAAATAATCTCTGTAATGAGTTTAGATATTTCCTAGTAAGTAAAATAAAATGTAAAGCAAAAAGTACATGGTTACTTCTGAGCATCCTCTGCCCAGCTGAACAAAACTTCCTCAAGACAGGTGAACTGGTTGAGCCTAAAAGTCTCAATGTAGCTGAAGGGAAAATGTGCAAAGATTAATGACTTAGTAACTTAGTTTTCCACAGGAAACATAATTTTTCACATATATCTTCATGTCCCTATATTTGTATTCCTAAAAATAAGTTGCCATGTGAAGGAATTGCTAGAACAAAAGGCATACACATTTAAAATGTGGGCAGATATTACCTAAAATATTTCCAAAAAAGCTGTATCAATGTTACTCCCTCTAGTAGTGCACAAACACATCCTTAAAGAAGAACTTTAAAATGATTAAAATGAATAATTGATAATTTGAAATAGGAAGAAAAGGTCCAAAGGGCTAGGGGTGGTGGAAGGGGAAGGGGAAAGGAAAGAAGGGAAAGGAAAAATTATGAGAAAAGAAAAAAAATGGAAACAAAGTCTTTCTAAATAGGGAAGGGTGGAGGGGCTGAAGGGCACACAGGTAATGGGAAAAAAATAAGAACCAAGATACATCATGTACAGGTACAAGCACCCAATGATAAATGTAAATATATTGTTCACCTAAAATGTACCAATAAAATAATTTAAGGAAAAAAAAAGAAGAACTTTGAAACAATCTAATTGAATGTTTTTTCTAAAGGCACATACTCAGAAAAGGTCAGAAAACATTCTCTTCAATCTCCATATGGTAGACTGAAAAGCTTTCATGAGCTACAATAGCCATTTAATTGGTAAACTGTTCACAGCTATGTCCTGGCCACTCTGTGGATGATCCTGGGCTGAAATATAAATAGGCACTAATATGCATCTGTTCTCCAGGTGTCTCCAAAGCTAAATGCTATAGACAGTTACAGTTAGGGCAGTGGCAAGATAAGATCTGAGACATGCAGTAATCTTGTTGGACCCTAATCTTTCACTTTCTGTAATCTCAGTGAAGTTGGCAAAACTGGAAATGAATAGAGAAATCTGTGTTGTATAGCTACAGGACACTGTGCCTTTCAGCCTATTGGACAACGGTAACACAGAAAGGTGCAGGCTTAGAATTTTTTTCCAAGAATATAAAATATTAGTTTACAAAATTAGTAGTGCAGATTTATCCTATGCTTCTGCAAGTCAGAAGGCCAGTAGGGAGGGGTCTTGCCAGCCTAAAATCAAGGTGCTGGCAGGCTGCATTCTTTCTAGGAGCTCCAGGATGTGTCTGTGTCCTGCCCATCCAGGTTGTTGGCAGAATCAGTTCCTTGTAGTTGTGGCCGCATTCCCACTGGCTGCCAGCTGAGGGTCAGTCCCAGCTGAATTCTGTGGTTCACCATCCCCCTCTTTCATCTTCAACCCCAGCAACATCAAGATTGAGTCCTTCCCATATTTTTAATCTCTCTTGCTCACTCCTCTGTCTCCTCTTCTACTGTTACAAACTCATGTCATTAGATTGGCCCCACTCCAATAATCCAAGATGACCTTCCTATGTTAATATCAGTTGATATAAAATATTCCTTCCCTTTTGTCTTATAAGGCAACATAGTCATATCTCCCAGGAATTAGGACACAGGTGGAGATCACTGGGGTACCTCACTAGTATGCCAGGGTTCTGTAAACACTGCTTATTCCTATACAGTAAAAATCAGTTTTATGTACTTATTTCAACTTTTATAATAAGTAATATGTGTTTTCTAAGTGGGTTGTACTTCTTGTAATCTGCGACTTCTGGTCTATTAACTCTTAAAAGAATATTCTGAGAAGCATGCTGTTATGTTCAGAGGAAATGTAGTGTTGCCATACATCATTTTGCCCTTGTATATGAAAAAAACCTCATTATTTAACTGCTACCCAAAGTGGAAATAGTTTTCTTATTTTGTTCAGTTATTTTTTTCTGATCAGTACATTGATAAAATTACTTTACAAATTTAAATAATTTAGAAAGAGTTTCATTTGGAGTGTATCCTTCTAGATTTATTACATTAATAATTTCCTTAAAAACAAGATTACACATAGTATTTTGTTTTTTGTTTGTTTGTTTGTTTTGGTACCGGGAATTGAACTCAGGACCTTGCACTTGAGAGGCAGGCAGTGGAACCACTGAGCTAAATCCCCGACCCTACACATAGTATTTTATAATATTCTGTTTTAAGGCAAGTAAAGTATTATACATATATCTTATATATATAGTATATACATATAAAACATATTAGACAAACCTTTTGTATATCTGTAGGTATTCTGGTATACTAGTATTTATCATTTCTAATAGCAGCCATTATAGAAATAATTTTAAATTATTTCTCAGTCTTATTCATGAGCATTTAGATTACTCTCAGGTTTCCATTGGAAAATTTCTAAACTGTGAAGATAAAGATTATGCAGATTTAGAGCTGGGCATGGTGGTGCCTGCCTGTAATCCCAGCACTCAGGAGGCTGAGGCAGGAGGATCACTGTGAGTTTGAGGCTAGCCTGGGCTACATAGTGAGTTTAGGGCCAGCCTGAACTACAAAATTGAGACTCAAAAAAAAAAAAAAATTATGCAGATTTTTAAGCCTTTGAATTCATTGCAATTTACACAAATTATCATTAAAAAACCATTTACCTCCTAGTTTATAGCGGCAACCATGTATCAGAGAACATGTCTGTTGTTTTCTGCAGACAGACTGTGGAACGTGTGACATTACAGAACCAACTCCAGCAACTCCTAGAAGCCCAGAAATCTGAGGGCAAGTCACTCCCTTCTTCACCCAGGTAATACCAGACACATTGGTATATGGAGTTCTTCAGTATTTTAAATCTCTGAGCCTTTTTCTGGATTTCCTTTTAATGTCTTTTATGAAAATGATGGTCAGACATAGTTGTGCACATGTGTAATCCCAGCCCTCTGGGAGGCTGAGGCAGGAGGATGACAAATCTGACTCTAGCCTCTGCAAGGTCAGGACTTAATGAGACTTTGTTTCAGAAAGGTAGCTGGGAGATGTAGCCAAGTGCAAAAGCCCTGGGTTCAACCCCCAATACAAGAAAAAGAAAGGAGAGAAGGAAAGAAGGAAGGAAATGAGGGAGGGAGGAAAAAGAATAAAAATAAGATATCAAGTGAAAAGGTCTGTGGGTCTTTGACTAATCTCCAACTCTCCTATTTCTTTGATCCATGGCTATAAACAAATCACTTACTTTTTCTTTTTCATTTCTTGACCAGTGAAATGAGAGTAAGGATATACAGCTCAATAAGATTATTGAAAATGGAATTTTGAGAAAATTCATGTGAAATTAATGTGTAAACAGCAAGATAAGTTTAGTAGTCATAAGGTATGAGGCATGCTATACTTTGGCTATGGTTGCTTCTATGGACTATTTGAAAATTGCTTTGAAAAACTATTTAGTGATTATTCTTAATTCCATTCTTACTTATTTGTAATTTTTTTGTTTTACTTTTTTAAGACAGGGTCACACTATATGTTTCAGGCTGGCCTTGAACTCACTATGTAGCCAGGCTGGCCTGAACTCCCAGAAATCCTCCTGCTTCAGCCTCCCAAGTGCTGGGATTACAAGCATGCACCACCATGCCCAGCTGTAAATTATTAGTGCTAATAAAAGTCATGCAGAACCTTGTGTCTGGTTCAGTTTAGCCAAGTAAGAAATCAGCTTAGCTCATCTCTTTCACTCTCTTTTCAGTTCACCTTCTTCACCAGCTTCCAGAAAGTCCCAATGGAGAGTTCCAGACATAGGTGATGAGTCTACAGCCAAAAGCAAACTAGGAATCCAAGAAGGGATTCAAGTTCTTGGAAGCCTGTCAGCCTCCAGCGGGGTCAGAGCCAAAACAAAAGAAGAAGATTCTGATAAAATTCTACGCCAGTTATTGGGAAAAGAAATCTCAGAGAATGTCTGCACCCAGGAAAAGCTGACTTTAGAATTCCAGGATGCTCAGGCATGTTCTAGACATTCAAAAAAGATCCCTCTGGAGAAGAGGGAACTGAAATTAGCCAGGCTGAGGCAGCTAATGCAGAGGTCACTGAGTGAGTCAGACACAGACTCCAACAACTCTGAGGACCCCAAGAACACCCCTGTGAGAAGGGCTGACAGGCCCCGGCCACAGCCCATCGTGGAGAGTGTGGAGAGCATGGACAGCACAGAGAGTTTACACTTGATGATAAAGAAACACTCCTTGGCATCAGGACGTAGGTTTCCTTTTAGTACCAAGGCCTCCAAATCCCTGGATGGCCATAGCCCATCTCCCACCTCAGAGAGCAGTGAGCCAGACTTGGAGTCCCAGTATCCAGGTTCAGGGAACATTCCTCCAAGCCAGCCCTCCGGAGACCCGACTCAGTCAAGCCCTGACAGCACTGCTGCCCAGAAAGTTGCCACGAGTCCCAAGAGTGCCCTCAAGTCTCCATCTTCTAAGCGCCGGACATCTCAGAACTCGAAGCTCAGAGTTACCTTTGAGGAGCCTGTGGTACAGATGGAGCAAACTGGCCTTGAACTAAATGGAGAAAAAGACAAAGATAAAGGCAGGACCCTCCCGAGGAACTCCACGAGTAGTGAATCAGGGGAACAACTGAAAAGGCCTTTCGGAACCTTTCGGTCCATCATGGAGACACTAAGTGGCAACCAGAACAATAATAATAATTACCAGACAGCCATCCAGCTGAAGACATCTACGTTGCCCTTAACCTCACTTGGAAGGAAGATGACAGATGCCAAGGGAAACCCTGTGAACTCTGCTGGCAAAGGAAAAACTAAAGCAGTGAGTGCTATTTGGAGAACATCCTTTCTTCCCCCTTAAATTGACTAGGTTGTGCCTAACACTACAGATTTTTGACACCTCGAGGGAATTTCCACAAAAATTCTGAAAGGGTGTGTTAAAAGCCAACTTTGTATGTTTCTAATGAAATGTTTCATGTTAGAGTACATATCCATTGCCCTTCCTTTGGGAAATACTAAAACAGGTCAGCGATCACCAGAGATTATATTCTGTTCCCTCCATTTCCCTCAATGACCCGATCTTTGGTTGCTAAGGCTCCTGGCCTGGGAGGCACTTCTATAAGATGAAACCACCAATCAGTGCAAAATCAGGTCCTTCATTGGTGCTGATTCTGCCTCATGACGAGTTTGTCCTCTTCATGTTCCTGGATAGTTTATTCTCAAGCCCAATTAAAAAGCACATAAATAGAAACTCCATTTCTAAAAACTTTTAACCACTCAACTTGGGGATGACCTTTGAAATTAATATACCACAGGGACCTCCACATTAGCATTTTATAACACTGACTCCTAAGTGTTGATTGGAGGCTATTGGAATATGAAGTGCCTGCCCGTACACAAGAGATGGCAGAATGTGCCATCAACTACATTTTATAATTACATTTATTGGAACCCCATGCTCTATAATTTGTGATTTCTATCTAGTGAATAAGAGATGTAAACATCTTTTTAGGCAACATCTTTTGCATGCCCTGTGCTTGCCATGCCATCAAAAAATAGCATAGCAGCCAAAATGCAAAACTCTGGGAAGGAATGACTGAGTTCACCCACCATTTCATTAAAATAGACTTCCCAGGGGAGTGTCAGAATCTTCATAATTTATTATTTGATATAATGTTAAAATCCTGTTATAGTTCAGTCTAAGAACTGTCCCAATTCTTTCTGTGGTATCAAATCAAGTTTTAATTACTATCTCTTTAATTGATAGAACACCAATTTTAAAATTATGTATCAATTCCATCTGTAAATTGCCCTAGTTATAAAGAACTTCAGTATGTATTTGTTTCATCTAGAAGAAGTGCACTTGTGGCTAAGACACCAGACTTTTAAGTTAAATATTTCAAAACTTAAGTTGTTCCAATAAAACTTTTCCAAGTAACTTAGCAGGTTATATCAGTAGTGAAAGAAGAATCATTTCCACAGTTTCTCAGGTTTCCTTAAAGTGTATTCTAAGTTACTGTCATCTAATTTGTCTCTGGCATGCTTCATATTTATTGGAACTTGTGCATGTGCTGAGCTTGTTGCATGTTTTCAGATGATTTTTTAATTGCACCTCTCTAGGAGATGTACAGCAGCTGCATCAATCTTTCCTCTAACATGCTGATTGAAGAGCATCTGCATAACTGTGCACGGTATGTGGTACCCAGAGATGCACTGTGCAGTATTGTCATGACTTTGCTTTGAATTGCATGAGCTTTTAAATTATGGACTTATCACACATGTGATGACAACAAGGAAGAAAAACAACTGCACTCTTTCTCCAAGTAGGAGCAGGCACAGAAAGTAACTAGGCCTTAGAAAGGTAGCTACTACTCATTAGAGGAACTTCATGCCAGCCTTGGTCAGAAGAATCTATTCAGTTCACAAATGTGCTGTTTCTTAGTTGACTTTGGCGTTCAGTCTTTGTTTTAATGGATTCGAGTACCAAGTAAGTATTAGAATTAAATTTCCTGTCATGAGTAGAAAGCGTCAGCCTCTGATCAGAATCAGAACTTTGAAACAGAGCTGGAATTTTATTTCAGTGCTGATTATAGACTGAAAGCTCCTTTCCTCACCATTCTGCTGATCTCAGGAGAAGCGAGGCCTTGCCGTGCTGAAACTCCTATAGCTTAGCATTGTGAAGCACAGTTCCAGTCCAGAAGGCAGTCTGAGGGGTACTTACCAATAAAACAAGGAGTTTTTCTCAAACAAAACGTTTACAGTTTCAAATACATGGACTGTGTGTCTAAAAGAGAGAGGATGAGGAACCCAGTTCCTGGGACACCTCCTTGGACGAAGTCCTTCTGCAGCCTAATATTCTTTCCACTGGGAGGACATGCAATGTTTTGACCAGACAGAAAATGGGAGGAGGAAAAGAGCAGCCCGGGGAAGTTAATGTAATCAGTGTCCACTTTAAAGGTGACTGTTGCTTTTAAGTCATTTAAATAATTGAAAAATTATGACATGGCCATTTAGCACTCTTTCCCAAAGAATGTGAACATGTGTGTATTGTACTTATGAATCTTTGTTCAGAATACTAAGGTGCAAGAAAGTCACTCTGCTTTTTCCCCCTTCTAAATCAAATTTGATCTGCTCTAGGTCAGTTCTCAGGTTGGAGGGAAATTAAATCTCAGTCAGGAAAGTAGGGGCTTCTCTAGGGGTCTCATTAATTCAGTGTATTCAAGAAAGGGTCTTGGAACTTCCCTGCTTACTGAACACTAGTGGTCTGCTTGGGTCTGGCTCACTGTGGCCTGAAGGCAGTCATCTAAACCATGTCCAGTCCCACTGGAGCAGAGTGTCTGGGCCTTTGGGGAGAGCCCAATGCCTGAAGTGAGGAGGGAGTAGGAAGAAGAACCCTTTCCCCTCCCAGACTAGCCCACTTCTGTTTTTCTCAACCTAGATTCCCCATTTCTGAACCCTTTTTCTGTCCCCATTTTGGGCTTGATGAGTCTTCTGATACTTGGAAAATTCTGCTTTTGTCCTCAAACAGAAGTCACTGGAAACACCCTTAGGCAAGGAAGCATAAAGGCTTGGCAAACTCCCTGGCAGTGGGAAGAATACTTCTCATTTCTTCCAGGCTTCTAGACCAATTGGAAACAAGACAGTTATTATCACAGTAGATTCTCCTGCCAGAAATATTTCATCCTGACTTTTTACATGTGAGGGAACAAAACAGAACAATTTACTATAATAAGATTATAAAAATCAGAGCACAAAATAATGTCATGGGGCTACTAAGTTTGCAGTTTCCTACTCAGTTTAAGGAGCAGTCTTTCCAAAGTCTGAGTTCTAAGCCTGGCTTTAGAACCTAGACCAGATTCATTGGCTTTTTATATTAGTAGAGTTTGATTTTAGTACATTGGAAACCCAGAAATAAAAATAATCAATACATCAAATAAACATCCTGACCTCTTTTCATTACCCTATAAATCAGCCTATACTTAATCACAATTTTAGTTTGGCAAGTATTTCCATAAAAAGTAGAAAGTAGTTTTTTTTCATATTGGAGAGAAAAGGTTCCTCTGATTTTCTTATAGTTACACACAGAAAAGGAGAACTGGTCTGGTATGCTCTTTAGATAAATCAAGAATGGATATCTACTTGAAATAAAGATTCCTCAGAGAAATTAAGACTTGAGTGAAATGCCTAGCGTGAAAATTATCGAATTGACTTTATTGCCAGCCTCATTTTGCCTATGGGACCCAACTGCAAGAAGGAAAGGAGCCCAAGTATTCATCTATTAGTGATGACTTCAAATCTTGGTCCAAAAATTTGCTTGAAGACCAGGTGGCTCCTCTCAGGTAGCAGAAATTGCCAGGACATCAGTGGCCATCACTGAGTGGAAGCTGGCACGAGAAGTCACTGCTCCTGAATGGCCCTGGGAAAAAGGGTGAAACAGTGGGTCTTGGTTCCAAGGATACCCTGGAATCATTTTTTAGTTCCTAAGAAACTTACTTTTCCTGGTATAGGAAAAATAGGAACAATAAATACAACATTGTAAAGAATGTCTGTTCTGTAAGAGGGTTCTGCTGCTATTTATTTTTCTTAATTGGTCATAGCTTGATAGCAAGGAATCTAAATCTTTTCAATGCCCTTTAAAATTAGATTCAACCTTATAAACAGCTTTCCAGGTGTACTTCAACTGCGAAGATGAGTTGGTTTATAACAAGCAGATTTATGTACTTTTTCTTACCAAGTTTGAGTTATTACAACTCCAAAGGAATGTTTTCAGTTGCAGGTCTTAAAATGACAATGAAATATTCATTTCCCAAAGACTAAGTCTGTTTGCCATCTATAACACGTAAGTTACTCATTGATTCCATTTACCAATAGGAAGAGGGCAGTGACTCCTGGTCACCTCCAGTAGTGCCCTCTCTGACCATGGTGGCACTGTTGCTTGAGAGGTTGGTATTAGGAAACTCCTAATCTTACTGCCAGCATTAGGAGAAACTCCTTTAAAAGACAGTAAGCAATAAACACCATTCGTATGGATTTTACTGTCAAGAAATTGGCAACATTCATAATTCTATATCTAAAGTCAAAAGCTAGTATCAAATACTCTACGTAGATTTTAAGGTTGTTCAACAGCCCCTTAAAATAGGGTGATGTGATGTCAGCTATGACAGTGGCAGCTGTTTGCCGTGTCCTATAAAGGGTACAGAGGGAAGACCTGCTTTGGAAACCAGAATTATCCCACCATAACATATTCTTTCAGCATGCTGGATTAATGGTAGCCAGAAAACCTACAAACATAACTCATTTCTCCATCTCCTGCTTGCATTGCTTACTCCCCAAAGATCCACTGTGAATTGTGTGAACTCAGAGGAGATATGTTCTAATAGTGTCACCTTCATACCATGTCTGCCACCACTAGCAGCAGAGTTGTCTATCTGTAAACTTTCTTAAGGATGAAATTTTAAAGAAGCAATAGATTGGTGGAAGTCTAAAAACACCCAATAGAGACTTTACCTAATACCTCCCCGTGCATTTGGGCTTTTCCTGGCTACCCTGGGACCTCCTTGGAGGGCACCACAGCCCTGAGTCAGCAGGCGATCATTTCAACATCTTTAGCTGTAAGCCACACATTTTGCTGTATCAGAAAAGTATGGTCCCTGTACTCAGGGAGGTCATAAATGAGAAAATTACAGGGAAGCTCCTGAAAGTGATAAGAGCTTTGTGAGAGCAGTGACCCTCAATAGCTCATTGTACCCCTCTTTGTACTCATAGTATCAAGCTTGGTGCCTGGCACATTGGATGGATTTCATAAATATTTAGAAGCAGAGGTACAGCAAAAAAAAAGGAGAAAGAAAATAGAAAAAAAGAAATACGGGAGGGGAAAATAACTGAGTGTATCCTATGGGGAAAATATGCTATGTTGTGTATCAATCTTTTTTAAGTCACAAGTCCATCTTCCTACCGTGCATATCAGTTTTGATCCTTCACACACAAGCTTTCATATTTTGAACAAGAATCCCTTTTTTTTTTTTTTTTGGTACCAGGGATCAAACTCAGGACCTTCCGCTTGTGAGGCAGGCGGCGGAACCACTGAGCTAAATCCCCAGCCCAAGAATCCCATTTTTAGTAGTTGAGAAGTATGACAGCTGTACTCTAAAGGAAATCATAAAGTAACAAGGGCACCCTTCTTTGGTTATCAGTGGACACGTTGTGTTCAGACCATTTCACACGGATCCCATGAGTTACTGTCTGGCCATCAGGGGACATGGAAATACAATATCTGTGCCTGGATGAGTCAGCACATTAGATTTCTTGAAAAACTGTTATTTAAGCATAAGCCTTTTCTCCTTTCCAATTTTGGTCATTCAGAATGTTATATCCAAAAATGAAATCAAGGTGCAGCAAATTATCTGAATAATTCATGCCAGAATTACCCAGACATTTTTAATCTCTTGAATTCTGGTAATTCAGGACAAAGTAATTGAAGGGTTTGGGGAGGAATGAATTGTTCTTATATTATGCCGATAAATGTCTCAAGTTAACATCTTACTTGGTGTAGACTCAGCTCTAACCATGCTAGGTTTTATCCTTCAGAAACAGTGTACTTTTTGGGGAATCCAATACCTTCTGTATTAAAGCAGAAATGTCCCATCAAAGTCAGAACTATACTGTATTATCTGTAGACTACAACCTAAGCTTCCTTTCTAATTTTTATTTCATTAATTTTTTATCAAGATGATATAAATACATGTAATAGTAACACCAGCATTCTAAAATCTGGCTTTCCTCCATGCCTAACCCACTCACTTCTTATTCCTACTTCTCTGAATCAAACACTTTTTTTGCCTTCAGATGTTTTCACTAATACTATTTCTGAATACATGTTCATATAGATTTTTGGTTTCAAATATCCCTGTTGTCTGTTGTCATCCTGGTGCATTGAAAATATCCAAGAGAACATTCAAGATGCTTTGCATGTATTTGCTATTTTAATCTTCACAATGACATATGTGGCAGATACTATTATTATCCAAATTTTGCATATTGGAAACAGACATAGATGATTATGTATCTTGCCCAAGATTACAGAGTAATGTTACAAATTGTGGAGCCAGGATTTGAATTTGATATTTGATTAGTCTGGTTCCAAAGTCTATATTCCTAACAATGAACCAAATTTGTCTTCTTCTATTTCTCTAGTTCTGCTTTAACATCGAACACTTTATGTCTGTCTGTCTGCCTGTCTTGTCTGTCTGTGTTTCTCACACATCTTACTTCTTCCCTCACCAATATATAAACATATATAGAGGGTTGACGCTTGGGGTTAAATCAGTATTCAGTGTTTTATTATTTTTCAATTTTTATTATTAGTACATATTTGCAGTACATAATGATCACATTCCTCATGGAGAGTTGGTACACATATATATAACACATCTTAATAATTTCTTTACACCTTCCCCCTCTTTTCCTTTCCCCCTTCCTTCATCTATTGGTCCCCTTCCCATTTGCAAAAGATCTATCTCACTGTTTCCTATTATCTATCTTTTATTTTGCTCTTTATATTTTGGGTTTCTCTTATAAGAGAAACCATGTGATATTTAAGCTTGTGTATCTAGTTTATTTCACTTAAAATTATGGTCTCAAAACAGAACAGTTAATCTGCTGGAAGATAAAAAAGAAAACTCTTGACATAGGCAAGGACTTTCTGAACAGAACTTTATTATTATGGCTATGTAAATATCAAGACAGATCCATGTGATATTCTGTATTTTCTTCCTCATAAAACTTAATGTTTCCCCCCAAAATAATTATTTTAATCTCAGTTTCAAATTCATTTCTAAACACTTTGCTTAAGACAAAGCCATCTCTCATTGCATGCAGAGTGCAGACAACTCCGTGGTCTCATTTTCCCTCAGGCCATATGCACTGCTGCCCTGGGTCATCCTGGAATCTCATCTGCATTGTTCTAGGAATTCCTTATGCTTCTTTCCTACGTAGACCCTATTTGCTGAACATCTGTCTTTTTTTTTTTTTTTCTAGTTTGGTAAACATGTCTTCCCTGAAAACATCTTCCAAGTCTGTGGATTATTGGTATATGTGGCTAGGTATAGAATGTTATATAACTATAGAAATTATTTTCTCTTCGGTTGTAGAACTCATTGCTTCATTGTCTTTAGCATCCAGTGTGTCTGCCGAGAAACCCTAGTTCTCTCTGATACTGATCCCTTAGACACTGCTATGATTTCTTTTTATCCCACTGTTCTGTCTTCCAGATGCTTTGCTGTGAGGTAGGTCTGTTTTCATTCGTCAGCTGTGGGCACACAGACGGCTTTCTCCACCTGGAACCCCCTGTGCTTCAGTTCTGGGAAATGTCTTATATAATTTATTTGAAAATATTTCTCTCCTCCGATTTCTCTGTCATTCATTCTGGAAATCCCTTTATTCTAATATTGAACACACGGGCCTAATCCTTAGATTTTCTAACTATTCTCTCTTTATGCATACTTTTGCTTTCTCTAATTCTACTTTCTAGGGTGTTTACTGAAATTTACCTTCCAGCCTTGTTATTATTTTCTTTTTATTTCTGTTGTAATAATGTTAATTTTCAATAGCACTTTATTGGGGTTTGTTCTTGGTTCCCTTTTTAGAAGTGTTATATGTGCAAATTTTATTTTCTATTCCCTTTTACAATAAAAGCAGTGTACTGTGCATGTGCTTTTGCTTCTTTTTTTTTCACCTAACGTGTTGGAGGTCGTTGTTAGTACATAGACAGGGCTTCTTCTTTCCATTACACATTGACTGTCATCCTCTGAAATATGTGGTATTCCTCCATCTTGAAGTACAAATCCATTTCTTGGGCTCTCTAACTGAAAACCTAGGCTTATTATTTTTCTCCTATTAAATTCTAAATGTCTATCCATCTTCCCATTTATAAAATACCATTGTCATCTTATTTGTTATCTTTTCTCCCATTTGCTTTATTTGATGGCTTATGCCCTTTTAAAATGTATTTACTGTCATTCTAGTGTTATTTACAAGCAAGATGATAAATATGTATTCAATTCATCATGTGTTATTGGAAGTCTTTAGACTATCTTTTCACCAATTAGGTTTTTCCTTTTATTTCTTCCCTTTCCCTCTCTTGCCCATTTATAACTCTGTAAAGTTTCAGTCAGAGGAATAAATAGAAATAAGAATTATAACTTTCATATTATTTTGATGATAATTAAATATTTATCAGTACACTGACAACAGCCTACATGTCTTGGTGAGTGTATTAGTCTGTTTTGCATTATTATCATAGAATGCCTGCAGTCAGTAAGTTTATTTTCTTTAAAAGATTTATTTTGACTCACGGTTCTAGATGTCCAGGGTCTAGGGCCAGCATCAGGGTGATGACTTTCTTGGCCAAGTCATCGCATGGTGAGAGACAGCGAGTGCACATACATGTGTCCTGTGGTTTCTGTCTCTTCTTAAAAAGCCACCTGAACTCAACAATAGGAGCTCCACCCTGTTGATCTTACCTAGTACTAATGACCTCCTCAAACCCCCACCTCTGAGCACCATAGTTGAATTAAACTTCCACCCTCCTAATACTTCACAATGGAGTTAAATTTCAGCATCTGAGCCCGTGGACACATTCATACTCCATACAAGCCATAACAGTGAGCAAGCAGATTTTGAGGCCATAAACCACATTTGGGATTCTCCTGCATCCAAGTGTATCCTCCACATGTTAGTGAGAAATAATGCCAGAAGTAGTTTGATTTTTCTTATACAGCAACACAAAGTAAGTAGTGTGTAGGCTTATTCACCTTCAGGAGGTAGCTCCTTTTTGAAAGCTTTAAAACTCAGAATGAGACCAACATCTCATGAAAATGAAGACACCTATCTAGAGGAAAATTCATTGTAAAATGCAGTTGTTCCAAGACTTTGAGTCTCTTCTTTTTCCATAGACTTAACTAGGTATTGAATTTTGAAAAGAAAACAGCATTATTGTTCCCTAGTTTCTTCTTTTCCCATAGATTTACCTACTTGTGGTCTTTTAACATGCTACTACTCAGTAAGTGCACAACTAAAGAAAAAGCATTCGTCAGACTGTTAAGATTCAAGCTTATTGGAGAATTAAAAATGTCACCAGTTATTCTGTGTAAATGAAATATTAAAATCTCTTGCTTCTATTTGACCCCCCCACTACCACCATACTGTACAAACCTATCTGTTTGATAAAAGTCCCTTGGCTATCGAATGCCTCAATTCCAATCAGTATGATTGAGAAACTACTTCTGGAGCAGAACTCAAATGTGTTTAGTAAGTGTATGTTATTACATGACTTGCTTTTATTGTTTAAAGAGTGGTTTATATGAAAAGAGAATAATTTGCCTTTTGGAATGAAGTATTCTTCAGTGTGGTTTGTGTGTGGATCATTTCCATTTTTAGTGAGCTGTTTAGTGACATTGTCTTGTAACTTGACCATAGTTTTATCTAATTTTGGCCTGTGGTTTCTCTTCTATTTAGGCATAATGACATCAATAGAAAAATGAAGAAATACAGCATAAGGCATATTGCTGAGCCAGAGTCAAAAGAACTTTTTTTGTAAATCACTTTTTAATATCTCTCGCTGATGCTCTTTGGACATCATTGGAAATTACTGGACTCTTCTGTGGAAATAGAATGATGAGAATAATCCCTCACCAGCAGATGAACAGAATATCAGGATGCCTTAAATTTATAGGATTAGACTAGAAGATACATTTTGGGGTGATATTTGTATATTAACTTGTTTTTTAAAAGGTGCTATTTAAAAGCATGATTGAGCAAATGTATGTTTTTTAAAATTGGATTGATTCAACCTACTCACAGGACCTTCACCAAGCCACTGACACCATTTTGTATTTCATGGATTGCATGAGTATTTGCTAATGTTGGTTGAACTTCCCTTTACCCATAACATGGACAGCTTTGGCTCAGCTTCTCAATGGGACCAGGTCAGTGGTATTGTTTTCTGTCGAGTGTTTTTTCTGTCATTTCTGCTTTTTGTATAGAGGAAATAAAAGAGTGTTAACAGCCACCTGTAAGTTTGGGCACCCACTTCCTAATAAATCTGTGATATTCTGATTTCTAAGGGACTTTGAAGGTATTTTGATGGCCGATACTTGATTTCAAGAACCAACTGCCCCATTTAGTTGTTTTCCCATAGGGGTCAAGTAAAACATTCTATATTTCATTAGGTACTAAAGATCAGACAAGTGTATGAAGTAATCCAATCCTCTGCTTTCTCAAATCTCAGCATCGACATGGGAAAATACTAATGACAACTAAAAGTTTAGTCCTTCGTGGGTCACTCTTTTTCCTGGCTCTAACACATTCATTATGAGGCTTGTCTAATCCCTTTAGGAGACAGTGTGGAGCCCACATTCATAACAGCCTTATTGTTGATGTAGCTTTTTCAATCCATGTGAACAGTTAAGTTCCAGAAGTTTTCCTCTTATCATGTAAAAATATATTTCTGTTGAAACTTCAAAAGTTTTATTTTCAAAGTGTTGGCATGGTCTACAAGAGGCCTGTCAAGTTTTAGTTTGAAAGTAGAATATATTCTTAGCGGTCAGAGGGAGCACTGTATGCTATTACAGTTACTAGCAATATTACTGCAGTCAAATGTGAACCACTCTGCCTCCTGGTGCACAAAGCAAGTCGAACATCTGAATCTGGAGGTAATCTTACATATGTGAGTCAACTTGGGATTGAGGAGATGCAGTGAGGTATAGAAGAAAAATTTGAGTGTCTTTTATGTACCAGATACTGTTATGTGGTGATATCACTACTCCTGTTTTATAAATTAGGACACTAAACTTGAGGAAATTTAAGTCCCATGTCCAACATAATTATAAAGTAGCAGGAGTAGGTTTTGGCTTCTGTTTGCTCATTGTCACCAGTATACTACCCTATCCATCCTATACTATGCTATTTCCTCAGTTTATCAATCACTGAGCTAATACACAGGAACCATGGTTGTACATCTGGACAACTCTCTGGTCTTGGGCAGGGGACATTGCTCCCTCAGAAATCTGGAAAAGGGCAATATTGGCCTACATACACATCTAGGGACTAGGTTCTTTCCAAATTACAGGTCTACATGTATATGAAGTTTAGCCAGTTCTCTGTCCTCATTTGGGTCCTGTGAGCTGCTGTATTAGAGCCTGGTGTCATATGTAACTCTGCGTTTCTCATACTATATTATCCTCAGATGAGTTGCCCTGTCTGATTTTGGACCCTCGACCTAATCTGCCCTTTTTCATTACTCACTCACACTTCACTACTCTCCTATTGCTTGAGATTCTAACAGAAAATATATGACATGCACATATGAGATGTAGCTTGCCTATGTCTTCTGCTTGGTTCAGATGAGATAATATGAATCACACAATGAGGCAACCTTTGGCACTTGGCCCAAAATGGGGTCTGCAAAGAAAGGGGACCCCAAGAGTGCTCCTTCTCTCTGACCCCAGAGGTCCTGGTTTTGTTCTGAAATAAGTGTTTTTTAACATGAAGAAGTCTTGGCATCCTATAGCGATTTTTTTAAGCAAGACGGAATGACCAATTAAACATAACAAAGACAATTTCAAGAGTTTGATAGAAAAAGATCATCTTTTCTAGAAAACTGACAATTCAACTGTTTAGTGCCAGTAACATTTCAGCTCTCACAGTACTAAGTACAAAAGAACAAAGAGTACAATAGGTAAAGTAGGAAAGCTGAGCAAATTCAGATCAGCCAAGCTACAAGACAGCACACTCTGTGTCTAATGATGTCACTAGGATACTAAAAATGAAGGCCCCTAAATCAGCACATACACATCTGTACTGTCCAAGTTCCCTGTGAAATGGATATATTATGATTGCTGGAAATTAGTAGATGATATTTTCCTTACCACAAACTTATGTGTAGCATTTTAAAAATGAAAACAAACTTATTTTTCCGTAGAAATTGAGACACATTTACATGTTAGAGCCAGAGTGTAAGCAGAGCTTTGGGGCTCCTGCCCCAAATCCTTCCCATTGGACTAGTAAAATGAGTAAAGCCCTATCTGCATGCCTAATTACGTGAAGCAGAATAGGAAACCGAGTTCCATTGTAAAAAAACAATCACAACATCTGTCAGCATCTTTTAAATACTGACTTCTTTTATGCCTCTAAAGGGACTTGTATTGCCAAAGTTTAACACATCAAATTAAAAACATTTTTTCACAAATGATAACAAGATACTAAACGATCACCACTTTGATAGGTTTAATTCCCATAACTTACTCTCATTAAACATTAGTGTCAAGACTTCAACCCTAACAAGAAAGTTCTGGATGTGCATCCTGAAATTGGAAGTGGAAATAAGACTCTCAAAGGGGATCTTCAAATAAGATTTTGAGAATATTTTTTTCTCAAACTGAATATTCATAAACAACATGATGATATAGTGTAGGTAAAATAACTCTGAAAAAGATAGACTCCTTGATCAAAATGAGCAAATGCTTTTTTTTCATGCCCACCTATATGCTTAATATTAAATTGATAAAGCTAAATACATAAGAATAAGGAATTTATTGCAACAAAGTTGATATCATTTCCCCCATAAAATAGGTTCACTTTACTACCCATAACTTTCATTTGTCAATAGGTCTGCCATTATATCCTGTGTTATCTCTGGTATTGTTTCTCTTTATTCTTCAACTATTGCATAGTTTTATGTAACTTCAAGCCTTTTATTCTTGCCCCTAATGAGACCATAAGTTTGTTGATCTCAGCAGAATCTTTGCGTTACCTCAAAGATAGTAAACATCTAACAATCTTTTTCAACAGCCCATATCCTCCTTTTCTTCTCATCTCTTCCCCATTGTTTTTACTCTATCCTTTCCTCACTCTCCTTTTCTTTCCTTTTTTCTCTTTCTCCCACTTTCCTTCCCTCCTGTGCTCTTTCCTCTCCCCCTTGCTGTCATCTTGCCTCACTTTTTTTTTTATTCTTCTCTGCCTTGTGTTCTCAAGATCTCAACACCCTACCTGTGGGATCTTTCTTGAAAAATTGCAGCAAAGAAATTGCTGAAACTAGAAATGTGTTGGACCCAGGTTTACAATGAAAAATAAGTCATCATTCCCTTCTTGCCAAGCGTGTAAGTAGAACAAGTATCTTGCTGTATGTTGATGAATTCAACAGACTGTGGTTTAGCCCATATCAAGAATGAGGCCCTGTGCTAAGCATTCTAATTGAATAAAAAGACTTAGAAGTTGTCAAATTTTGAGACCAAAGAAGTTAGATCAAACTTCCCAGATGCCTTTGAAACTAGGAATGGTCTTGGGACTCAGTCAGGCCAATGAAAGGTAAGTGAAACTCATAAGAATGGAGCCAAGAGAAAGAATCTTACCTGGCACTGGTGTTTTGTTCCTTGTATGTCACTCTTCTGCCCCACTGGTGCAGAGTACAGCTTTTTTAATTATGAGTACAAAAATCTCATGGGAAAAAACTGGAAAAGAGGGAAGGAGGAAAGGACCTGGTTCCCTGAGCACTGCACATGCCCTGAATTGTACCCTGTATTATTTGTTGAGTGAAGTAAACTCTGACTAAATCACTGGAATCTGTCATCTGGTAAGACTAGCCAAATATAAAGGCAACTGATATATTCAGCTGACAGAACACTAAGATAAAATCAAAATATATGGTGAATGTTTAAGCTTAAAAGGTTGAAGTAAAAAAACAACACATTGTCATTAATTCTCCTTAAAATGCTCCCTCTTGCTTCAAACACACATGTCCCATTGTTCTTGCCACTTTCTGAAACAGTTCTGGAAGTCCTCTTCTGTGAGTATCTTTACCAGATATGATCCAAAATATAAAGAATATTGCTGCCAACCTTCATCCAGTGGAAAGGTGGACCTGTGAAAACACAACAGTGCATCTTCTACCTTATTCATTAGATCTGGCACTGTACAACTTCTGGCTTTTCCTCAAAGTCAAAATGACCATGAAAGACAAACATTTTGAATTGATTCAGGATATTGAGACAGCCATGACAACACAACTAAAGACATTCATGAAAGAGGACTTCCAGAACTGCTTCAGAAAGTGGCAAGAAAGATACCATAATTGTGTCCGAAGCAAAGGGGGATATTCTGAGGGAAATTAATGGCAATGTGTCATTTACTATAGTAAATATTTTTTAAAATTTAAGCATTCACCGTATTTGTTGATCGCACCTTGTATACATCCAAGTCATTGGGATAAAGCAGCAATTCATTGTATTCTATTTACCACTAGGCTTGGCTATGTTCTAGAACTCTCAGCTTTCTGTCACATGACAATAACTTGAGAAAACCAACTTGAAGAAGGAAAGGTTTATTTTGGCTCATGGTTTCAGAGACATTAGTCCATACTTAGCTAGTTCTGTTGCTTTTAGGCCTCTGGCAAGGGAGAGGATATGGAAGGATATGATGGGGGAAAGCTGCTTACCTCATGGTAGCCAGAAAGCAAAGAGCAAGAGTGAGCAAGTATGTACTGGCAGGATTCCTCCTCCTGGGTTTTTGTTTGCTTGTTTGGTTTTTGGTTTTTTGGTTTTTTTCCTTTCTGAGTTTTAGGGACAGTTGGGATCCTTAGGTAGGGTTAGATTAGGGAACTGGCCCCTTTAAGAGGTACAAAGTAAGAGGGGTCTGTACGTCTCAGGGAGAAGTCCAGCTGACAGCATGTGGTTACACTGAACTGATAGTTGGTGGTATTGACCCCCACCTCTGTGCAGGCAGCATGGTGCCTTCCAGTGCAGGCTGTCATCCCTACCCAAGTTCCCCTATTAGCCCACAAGACCAAACCCCTAGCAACAAGTCCAATATCCAGTGAATCAAATGTCAACCCTCAGGGTGGATACAGGACGCCTACCCTATAAAACAGACTGCCACCCCAGATTCAGGGGTATCCCAGCTCTGCGCCCCACCACTCCTGTGGCTCTTTACCACTTCCTTTTGCAATACCTACAATAAAATTACTTTCACCTTGCACTGGTCTTCTGTTCTTGACTCCTCTTCTTCTTTCTACGTCAGAGAGACAAGCCCAGCAAGGGTGTATCTGAGGACCCTTAGACCCCAGACCCACCAGATGTAAC